TATATCTCAGCTAAAGGTACCTTTCTCAAACACAAACATGACTACTTTAAAACTTTTAGTGCCTCCATTACCATCTCCACATCTGCACAGCCTGAAGTCTAGAGTGGCATTCCAGGTCCTCCACTCTCTGGCCCCACATCCTTTGTTCAGCCTTCACTTCTGCTGTTTTCTCAGCTCATTCAAACAGAATTTTGTTAGGCACCTGCAGTATGCCATTCATGGTACTCAGTGCTGGGGAAAAAGAGTGACAGTGTACAATCCCTGCTCTTCAGGGAGCTTACAGTATGTTATGAAAAATAAGTCAAATAGCCAATAGCTATGTGACAGTGAGACATGGGCTATGCAAACTGTGTAAAGAAAACACCCTCCAACTCCTTTCACCAAAGTGAACACAGAGCCTTACAGGGTGGCAATGGAGTGGAGAGCACTCGGTGTCCTTTTGATGGTTCCTGTTCTCTATGATCCACCTTCCTCTTGGGGAAATCTCTAATTTTTATCATCGTCACTCTAGCCTCAGGGAGGCACTGCCCTCCTTCTATTCTGCTATTCTGCCTCAAGTAGGATCTCAGTGTATTCCTTAAATCTCCAAAATTAAAAAAAAAAAAAAAAAAAAGGTCTCCAAATCACAGTGGAGGCTGGGCTGGAATATTTAAACAAGACCTTACAGAACGCTAAGGGAGAAGCAGAAAGGTAAAACATAATAGGCAACTAGATAATCTATTTAAACTAATGAAATAGAGCTCCTTCAGGGATACCTTCCTTCCCAGTTGTAGAGCTGCCTCTTCCCTATCATCTCTCAGTATCCCCAGGTATGTCTGAGCTTTTGGAAGCCCAGACATGGTTAGCAAGGTCCAGAGAGATACAGAATTTTCCTCTCTCATCCAAGACAGGCACTCCTTCCAAGCCTGGTTTCAGGTACATGATCCCTCAGATGGATGACACTGGGAATGTCCTTCAGGAACGACTGTAGCAATCCACAGAGCATGGCTGGCCCAGTGGGCTCGTAGGAAAAGAATATCACAAAACAAGCCTGTAAGCTCTCCATTCACATGCACCCATGGTAGAGGGGGGTTAGTTGGAGGGGGAATTATTTCATTTTAAGAGACTTGTAAGGTGGGAGGGGGTCATGGAAAGTGTCATGAGAAGGTGAGTTGAGGAGTGAAAAGTCACGTAGAAGTTAGCCATATAAAGAAGCTAGAAATTACAATGAGTCAAATCAATTTTAGGAAAATTGAAGAGCTTTTGCAGAGAGGCCCTGAGGAGTAAGAGAGCATCTTATCTACAAGTCATCTGGTCTGGGCAGAGCTTAGTGCCTAGGGGAGAATGGAGAGGGTGGAGGCTGGGTAAGAGGTCAGCTGGCCAGGAGCGGTGGCTCAAGCCTGTAATCCCAGCACTTTGGGAGGCCGAGACGGGTGGATCACGAGATCAGGAGATCGAGACCATCCTGGCTAACCCGGTGAAACCCTGTCTCTACTAAAAAATACAAAAAACTAGCCGGGCGAGGTGGTGGGCGCCTGTAGTCCCAGCTACTCAGGAGGCTGAGGCAGGAGAATGGCGTCAACCCGGGAGGCGGAGCTTGCAGTGAGCTGAGATCTGGCCACTGCACTCCAGCCTGGGCAACAGAGCGAGACTCCATCTCAAAAAAAAAAAAAAAAAAAGAAAGGAAAAAAAAGGGTCAGCAAGGGTCCAGCTCCCAACGGACCATGGGTGCCATGCTGCTGAGCACGAGCCTCACCCAAAGGTGATGGGGACCATGGGAGAATTGTACATTGTGAGCAACACAACCAGCTTCTCATTTTGAAGAAAAAATCTCTTTAGCAGAAGTGAGGAATGATTTGGCAAAGAATGAAAAGGAAGTAGCAAGACCACTTAAGAAGCTATGGTTATAATAGGCTATAAATGAAGTCCTGCTTTAAAGCACCAGCAGTACAGATGAGCAGGCGATAAGTGGACAAACTCAAGACATTGAGAAGTTAAGAGTCAAGAAGCACTTTGGGAGGCTGAGGTGGGCTGATCACGAGGTCAGGAGATCGAGCCCATCCTAGCCAACATGGTGAAATCCCGTCTCTACTAAAAATACAAAAAGTTAGCCGGGCGTGGTGGCAGGTGCCTGTAAGTACAGCTGCTCGGAAGGCTGAGGCAGGAGAATGCTCGAACCTGGGAGGCGGAGGTTGCAGTGAGCCGAGATTGCGCCACTGCACTCCAGCCTGGTGACAGAGTAAGACTCTGTCTCAAAAAAAAAAAGAAGTTAGAGTCGGGGGTGAGGGCCTGAGAGGAGTCCAGACCAACACTGTCCAGTAGAACTCTCTGTGATGATGGAAATGTCCTGTAGTCTGCACGACCTAGTATGACAGCCACTGGCCACATGTGGCCACTAGGCATTTGAAATGTGGCTAGTGTGACTAATGAACTATATTTAATTCTAATTAAGGTGGGGTTTTTGTTTTTGTTTTTGTTTTGTTTTGTTTTGTTTTTGAGACAGGGTCTCACTCTGTCACCCAGGCTGGAGTGCAGTGGTGCAATCTCAGCTCACTGCAACCTCTGCCTCCCAGGTTCAAGCAATTCTCATGCCTCCACCTCCCAAGTAGCTGGGATTACAGGCATGCACCACCATGCCCAGCTAATTTTTGTGTTTTTAGTAGAGATGGGGTTTCACCGTGTTGGCCAAGCTAGTCTCGAACTCTAGACCTCAAGTGATCCGCCTGCCTCAGCCTCCCAAAGTGCTGGGATTACAGGTGTGAATCACTGCAACTCCCAGCCTATAATTAAGTTTAAATAGCCACATGTAGCTAGTGGCGACCATACTGGGCAGTGTAGGTCTAGAGTAACTCCTACGATTTGGGAACTGATTGGAGGGGTGGTACCATTCACCAAGATGGAGACTATAAGGAGGAGGATTTGGGAGAGAAGATCATGAGTTCAAGTTGGACAAGTTTCATATTAGGATACCTATAGGATAGCCAGTTGGTGGCATCCCAGGAGGTGGATATTCAAGCTGAGTCAGAGCTGGAAATGTAATTTGGACGCAATTTGTAGACTACCAGCCAAGCTGCAGCCAGGCCATAGTACCATCACCCCAAGAACAGTCTCTGTGCCTTTGCTTATCTTGTCTTGTTGGAGAACAGGCTTCGTACTGTCTTTGGACAGAAATGAATCTATTTATCCTCTGCCCTTCATCCTCGGAACGTGTCTTGTATTGTCCTGTGTCGTGGTTTTTTTTTTTTTTTTTGGATGGCAAAAATAGATCCCAAAGGCAAAGAGAGGGCTAGAGTACAGTTGGTGTTGGCACCGACCATGCCCCTGTAAAGGTTCATGAGATGGAAGTTGCACCTTTCCCCTCAGCCACTGTCCCAGCCCAAGCACTGACAGCGGGCACCAGTCCTATGTCTTGGCCTGTCTCTCTGCCCTCTTTTAATTGAAAGAACCATCAGAAGTCTAGCTCCACTCCCCAGAAAGTTCTAGCTCATGGCCAGCAAGTGTCTATGGAGATCTAAACTAGCATGGCTTTTTTTATTTTTTATTTTTTTAAATTTTATTTTATTTATTTATTTATTTTTTGAGATGAGTCTCACTCTATGGCCCAGGCTGAGTGCAGTGGTGCAAACTCAGTTCACTGCAACCTCTACCTCCTGGGTTGAAGCAATTCTCCTGCCTCAGCCTCCCGAGCAGCTGGGATTACAGGCGTGTACCACCAAGCCCAGCTAATTTTTGGTATTTTAATAGAGACAGGGTTTCACCATGTTGTCCCCAGGTTAGTCTCGAACTCCTGTGCTCAGGCAGTCTGCCTTCCTTGGCCTCCCAAAGTGTTGGGATTACAGGCATGAGTCACCACATCAGTCGAAACTAGCATAGTTTTGAGCTGTCTTTTATTCAGCCACTCAGTGGATGTTGTCAGGTGCTTGCTGTGTGCCAGGCATTATGCTAGGCACTGAGCCTGAGCACAAGCATGATCCCTGCCGTCATGAGAGAATTAGAAATCAGTCAAAGAAGCATACAAATAAATGTAAAGTTTCAACCCTGGCAACTTCTCTAAAGGAGAGAGAGGGAACTTAACATAAGCAAGGTGGCCTGGGAAACTTCCCCAAGGAAGTGATGACTGAGCTGAGGTCTGAAGGAAGACCAGGAGGTGACCATGCCAAAGGGTAGGGGTTGGGGAGTAACACAGGAGCTGTGGAAGAAGGGAGTGTGGAGCTCTTGAGGTACTGAAAGCCAGTCTGGCTGGCGCAGAGAGCAAGAGGAAGCATGTGGCCCAACCTCCCTGAGAGGCCATGGGAGATAGACCATGCAGGCCCTGGTAGGCAATGGCAGGGATTTTTTGTCTTCATCCTAAGGATAATGGGAAATTATTGTGTTTTGAGCAAGCAGATGAAAACAGATTGCTATTTCTAAAAGACCATGCTGGCCAGGTGTGGTGGCTCACACATATAATCCCAGCACTTTGGGAGGCCAAAGTGGGAGGACTGCTTGAGGCCAGGAGTTCAAGACCAGCCTGGCAATAGCAAGATCCTTTCTCTACAAAAATAAATAAATAAAAATATTGGCCAGGCCTAGTGGCACACACCTGTAAGCACTGGCTACTCAGGAGGCTGAGGCAGAAGGATCACTTGAGCTAGGAGGTCAAGGCTGTAGTGAGCTAAGATCATGCCACGGCACTCCAGCCTGGGCAACAGAGTGAGACCCTGTCTCAAAAAACAAAAAAAAAAAAAAAAAAAAAAAGTCACCCTGACAGCAGGGAGATGAACAGAGGGGAAGGTGCCAAGCAGATGGAGGAAGCCAGCTCAGAGCTGCAGCAGGAGGCCAGCTGCCTGGATGATGGTCCTGGGTACTGTAGGTGTGGCAAAGTGCGCACATCCAGAGAGGTGTAGGATACTTAGAGCTGATGTTCATTTAATTTGTAGGAAATAATCTTGACTATAGCTGGGTAGGACTCCATTTCGGAATGTAAGTTAAATATGAAAACTTATGACTGACTAAATTTTCTGATTTTTTCTCCTATGTAGGCAATTGATTGAAGGAACAGAAGTGCTTAAACAACTAGAATTAGTTCCAACAGAGAATGAAAGACCAATACATATGTGTAGAATTACTGACAGTGGAGATCCTTATGCTTGATTTTCATATCAATATTTTCTGTGATAATTTATTACTTTGTATCTGATCAGCTGTTTGTAGATTTAATTAAACAGTACTTGATAAATTGTAATTTGAAAGCTGTGGCAGACACTGTAGGTTGCCTCGTCGACACCCAATCCCTCCCCATCTTCCTTTCCTGTCTCTGTCATAGAGACTGTGAAAGGACAATACTCAGTTTCCTAGACTCCTTCTCAGCTACGGGTGGCCACAAGAGATGGTTGTGGCCAGTGAGACAGGAGTAGAATGCCAGTGGTCCTGCCCCTTCCCCTTCGTCCTGTCTGGAATGTGGAGAGGCTGGAGCTGCAGCTGTCATCTTGTGGCCATAAAGAAAAGGCCGAGGCCAGGTGCGGTAGCTCATGCCTGTAATCCCAGCACTTGGGAGGCCGAGGCAGGTGGATCACGAGGTCAAGAGATCGAGACCATCCTGGCCAACATGGTGAAACCCTGTCTCTACTAAAACTATAAAAATTAGCTGGGCATGGTGGCATGCACCTGTAGTCCCAGCTACTCGGGAAGCTGAGACAGAGGAATCGCTTGAACCCGGGAGGCAAAGGTTGCAGTGAGCCGAGATTCTGCCACTGCACTCCAGCCTGGCGACAGAGTGAGACTGTCTCAAAAACAAAAAAACAAACAACAAAAAAAAACAGCCAAGTACTGCAGAGATGTCAGCCCCAATCTCTTGAGCTGCAGAACCAATACCGGCAACCACCTACTCTGGACTTCTTAGTGTATGAGACTAACAGAGCCCTGTATTATGTTGTTTATGTTACTGTTGGTGGTTGAGAATTTTGTTACTTGTAGACAAAAAAAATTCTTAATTTAGCAACATACTTGATAGCCTAAGACATTTGTAATAAAATTATGTTCTTATTTGTAACTACATGTACTCCCAGGAGAAACTTGGTAATTAACCAAATAGGAATGATGCAAAAGAAAAAGCAATTCGTTTTAATATTTTATTGTTTATACATAGCATTCAGAAAGGGTATCTATACTTCGGATGTTTTCATACATGACATGAACATCATCCTTATCTCTCTGAGCCATACCAACCCTGTGAAAAACAAGGGATTGTGTTACAGTCTCCGTGGTGGCTGACTCATGTGATGTTACTGGAGATTCAGCTTTATCACTACTCTGTAGTCTAAAGTTCTCAAGCTCATATCACCTGGGGAGCTTTTAAAATGTAACCTAACAGACCTTGTCCTTGACCTACTGAGGCAGAGTTCCCAGGCGTCGGGCAGAGATTCTGTGTTTATTTGGTTCTTTCCCCAGGGTTCCCAGGCATGGGGCGCAGATTCTGTGTGCATTTAGCTCTTTCCCCAGGGTTCCCATTTAGACAGCTGGGCACTAGTCATCTGGGAATCACTGCAAGGTATAAGGAACTGGTTCCAGCCCCCATGGTGTAGTGTAGTCAGCAGAGTGCTTGACTGTGCTGTTGGTGACCTTGCTCAGCTCCTGTTACACCACTACCCTATGCCCTTGCTCTGCCCAGACTGAGGGGGCTTTTCTTTTCTTTTTTTTTTTTTTATTTTTTGAGACGGAGTTTCGCTCCGTCGCCCAGGCTAGAGTGCAGTGGTGCAATCTTGGCTTACTGCAAGCTCTGCCTCCGGGTTCACACCATTCTCCTGCCTCAGCCTCCTGAGTAGCTGGGACTACAGGCGCCCGCCACCATGCCTGGCTAATTTTTTGTATTTTCAGTAGAGACGGGGTTTCACCATGTTAGCCAGGATGGTCTCGATCTCCTGACCTCGTGACCTGCCTAAACCTTGGCCTCCCAAAGTGCTGGGATTACAGGCGTGAGCCACTGCGCCCAGCCGAGAGTGCTTTTCTTACCCTAAGCAGAATGAGGTTTGTCTTCCAAGAACAATCTCTATTTACATCAGTCTTAAAGGGGCAGGCTTCTGATAGATATGGGGCTTGCCAACAGTAGGCATAGACTTTTTTTTTTCTTTTGAAATAATTATAGATTCACAGGAAGTTGCAAAAAAAAGTACAGAGCAGTCCTGTGTATCTTTCACCCATTTTCCCCAGTGGTTACACTTACAAAATGGTAGTACAATATCAAAACCAGGCAGTTGACATTGGTACCATGTGTGTGATGCCATTTTATCATGAGTATAATCATGTAACCAATACTACAGAGAAAATATAGAACCTTTCCAGCACCTCAAAGACCCCCTTCCAGTACCCCTTTACAGTCACACCCGCTCCCCTGCCCCCTGCCATCCCTAACTCCTGACAACCGGCATTTGCTTATTTTTATGACAGCTTTATTGCTATATGACATATGCTTTATGCTAAGACCTAAGGTGGATGGGAGGAAGCAGACCGCCTATGTTATATTCTCAATTGACCCAGAGAAGCATAGTGTTAAGAATGTGTGTTCTAGAGCCAGACTGCCAGGGTTCAAATCCTGGCTCTGCCATTCCCTAGCTGTACAAACTCAGGCAAGAACTTTTCTGTGCCTCAATTCCTTCATCCGAGAAACAGTGGTACCTACCACATAGGATTGTTGTGAGGGTTCCATGAATCAATAATTTGTGTAAAGAACCTATAAGAGGACCTGGTCTGCTGTAAGCACTCGATAAATTTAATAATAAATTACTAATGTGTAACCTTCAGGGCTGGTCTGCTGTAAGCGCTTGATACATGTAATAATAAATTACTAATGTGTAGTCTTCAGGGTGTAGCCTCAGAGCTTGGACTTTCTGAATGCTCTCCAATGACTCTGACAGCCAGATTTGGGAATCCCTGAGGAGAGTCTCCCTCTTCCTGTACTCACAGACTTCTGGGCAGTCTGAGAACTTGGGTGATTTGTCTGCAGCTTCCAGACTCTCTCGCTGGGCCTTTGCCCAGGTTCCTCAGGTCACACTGGGGACATCTCAGACAAAAGGGAGATGGGCTTGCCACCAGGATTCAAAACAATTGGTGAATGAAAACTGATTCTTTGCAAGGAGCCCAGTTAAAACACATGGCAAGCGTTGCTCATGTAATAACAAGCAGCAGGGCAGTTCTTACTGGTGATGAACCTATGTATTAATGGCATTAGGCATTTTATCTGATGTTGTGAAAGAACTGGAATATTTGCGTGGGTGTAAGAAACTGATTCCAGCTCCCTTTGTCAGCAGCAATAGAAAGATAGAACTCTGCCAGTCTTCTAAAGGATGGCGAGTTCATGGTCCCTTTGTTCACTCTAACTTTCCACTTCTGGGCTGCAGAAACTTCAACCACAGATCTATGCAGTGGTTCTTATCACCAGCACTTAAAAGTATACACACTGATACTTCTGTGCTAGAATGATTTGTATGTTTAACCTCCTGGTTGAAGAAACTGGTTGTCAGAAGGACTCAAAAGTTTACTCCAACGAACTCCACACGTTAAGACTTTGATGTAACCAAACTGAAATATATTAATTAAATAGAAGGGATTCTAGATTTTCCCACATCTATAGATAGGACCATAAAGGCCTTCTGATGATTTACACAAAATGCTAAGTTATATATCTAAACTTGCCCTAAATGCTGATATGGCAAAGTCAAGTACATACGCTGTATCTTATACTAGGCCATGTGAATAAGGGAGTGCATATCTAAACATTTTTTCTTCTATGGGGAGATTTCTTCTATGGGGAAGTATTTAAAATTCTATCCAAGGAATTTATTTGCCCCTACTGCAAACAGTGCTGGTTATTTGTTAAGGAATGGATAGTCTGGCAACCTCAGGATTCCAGACCTGAGTTTTTATACATATTTTAAGTGAAGCATATTTGTTTGAGAACCACCTGTCCAGCAATGTGATGGTCAAATCACTTAACCTTTCACTGTCCTCATTTGTAAAAAATAACAGAAGTTGAGTTGCTAGCTTTCTTCTGGCTCTAAAACGTCAGTGATTTTTCTGAGTAAATGTATAAAATAAAAATTTCTTAAGTGAAATGGGGGTACATCTGTTTCAGTGTTCTGAGGATTGAGATAGCAAGTGAAGGTGCTTCTAATAGTGCTTGGCACACAGATATTCCGTAAGAATTAGTTTCCCTTCTGAAACATCTCCCCGCAAAAACCAGTCAAGCTACCACTAAGAGAATATCATCATCATCATTTCAAGAAATATCAAGCCCTTTTTATACTGAGTATTAGCAGTTCTCACTAACACCAGATTAACTGTCAATCAACTGAACTAATTCAAAGGTATAAAATTAAAATTGGTCTCTACCACACCTAGCAATATTCTGTCTTATGGAGATTAATTTTTTAAACTATATTGATCTTACCATCCCCTACACTTCCCAAAAGTGGAATCACCACCACTTAAATCTGGCAAGTCTTAAGACTTTCATATATCATATGAAATATTGGTGACAAACTCAGTAGTAATATGTACAACATGAATTACAAGTTGCATATTTGATAGAGGGCTTTGTAAGTATGGTGATAAATCACAGGTTCTTTTACTTTAGCATGCGTCAGAATGCCGGGGCCTGTCAAACACAGATTGCTGGACCTCAGAGTTTCTGATTCAGTGGCTCTGGGTAGGGCTGGAGAATTTGAACAAGTTCAAGGTGATGCTGCTGCTGCTGCTGCTGCTGCTGGTCTGGAGAGCACACTTTAAGAACCGATGGGATATATTAGACACAGATCTATGAGAGACCTGTGGCACACAGGTATGTAGAAAAGTCATAACAGTAAAGTGTAACCTACAACAGAGGAGGAAGAATGAAGGAAACTGACAAGAAACCTTGATTTCATCAAGGCAGCAGAGGAGGTACGTTATGTTGACCAATTAGACAGTGACCAGAACCCTGTTGCAAGGTGCTGAGGTTCTTAGCTGGGTCAGATGTGAGACCTCCAAGTGCTGGACAGTGGCAACATGGTAGTCAGGTTATTAGGGAGGGACTTGGACACTTGGGCTGCTCAGGACATGCACTTTGCCAGTCAACACAGAATTACTAGAATATTTTAATAACCAGAGTGGCCATGAGGTGTGTTCTGGCTGAAAATCAGCTCTCCAAGACAGGATCGGAAGAAGCACGGTGAATACCTAGGGACAAGGGGAAGTCATAGCTAATCCAAGATAGCAGCAAGTCGCCTGAGGTATAGTTTAGCTTGAACTTGGAGGTTATTCCTAAGGAACAAATCAGGAAAAAGCTTCATTTCCTAAAGGACCAAAAGATGTGATGCAAAGAGCTCTAGCAGACCCAGGGTTTGAAGCAGAAAAAAATGCATCTCAGGCCGGGCGTGGTGGCTCTTTGGGAGGCTGAGGCGGGCGGATCACGAGGTCAGGAAATTGAGACCATCCTGGCTAACACGGTGAAACCCCATCTCTACTAAAAATACAAAAAATTAGCTGGGCATGGTGGCCGGCGCCTGTAGTCCCAGCTACTCAGGAGGCTGAGGCAGGAGAATGGCGTGGACCCGGGAGGCAGAGCTTGCAGTGAGCAGAGATCGTGCCACTGCACTCCAGCCTGGGTGACAGAGTGAGACTCCATCTCAAAAAAACAAAACAAAACAAAAATCATGCATCTCAGGTGCCAGCCTAAAGGGAACCTGGGCTGGGGCCATGACTCCTGCACAACCAGGAGGTTTGTGCTGTTTGTGTGCTAACCTTACATATGTTTGTAAAGAAAGAAGCAAAAACAGTATGTCTTGATGTAATTTTGTAGATGAATCACTGTTAAGAATTGCAGGCCTGGCATGGTGGCTCATGCTTGTAATCCCTACACTTTGGGAGGCCGGGGGGGTGGGGGGAAGATTGCTTGAGCTCAGCAGTTCTAGACCAGCCTGAGGAACATGGTGAAACCCCGTCTCAAGCAAAAATACAAAAAATTAGCCGGGTGTGGTGGCACACCCAGCTATTCAGGAAACTGCGGTGGGAGGATCACTTGAGCCCAGGGAGGCATAGGTTGCAGTGAGCTTAGATTGCACCAGTTTGACTGAAATAAGCCAGTTTGTTCATTTATTCATTTTTTTCTCAAAAAAGAAAAAATTGCAGCGGTTTAGGATAGAATACTTTTGTGCAAGCCATAGTGTAAAGCAGTGTTCTCCAACTTTTTTTTTTTTTTTTTAATGAGATGGAGTCTCGCTCTGTCACCCAGCTGGAGTGCAATGGCATGATCTTGGCTCACTGCAACCCCCACCTCCTGGGTTCAAGCAAATTTCCTGCCTCAGCCTCTCAAGAAGCTGGGATTACAGGTGCCCGCCATCACGCCTGGCTAATTTTTGTATTTTTAGCAGAGATGGGGTTTTGCCTGGTTTGGCCAGGCTGGTCTCAAACTCCTGACCTCAGGTGATCTGCCGCCTTGGCCTCCCAAAGTGCTGGGATTACAGGCGTGAGCCACTGCATCTGGCTGTTCTTCAACTTTAAGACTACACACATGTACATATCTTCTGGGAATCTTGTTAAAATGTAGGTTCTGATTCAGGAGATCTGAGGCGGAGGCCTGAAGTTCGGCATTTCTGATGCATTTCCACATGATATAATTTCCACATGATATAAATGATACTGGTTCGAGAACCACACTCTGAAAAGCAAGGGTAAAGAACTGGTTTTCCAACTAAGCTGCAGATTAGAAACACCTGGGAAGCTTTTAAAACTCCTGATGCTCAGACATTATTCCAGACCAATTAAATCAGTACCTAGGCATTAGTATCAGTATTTTTCAACACCCACCACCACCACTGCTGCCACCAGGTAGTTCCAATGTGCAGCCAAGGTTAACAACAACTGCTCTGAAGTATCATGTTCCCCTCTGGTGCCCTGGCACACTTTTCAAAGAAACATCCATAAAGCGGAGAGCCTCCTAATGAGAGTATCTCTAGAATTTCACCCTCAATTGTAATCACAATATTAATAGTAAGACTCTGCATATACAGTTTTAGCTCACTAATATTTGATTTGTCCAATCCTTCTCTTTGTCAAAACGGATTCAAATACTACTAAATGAGCTTTAATATATGCTGTTAAAACTGTCTTATAGATGCCAGCCCTTGCTTCCCACCCATACTCCTCTAGATGAATCTGCCCTGACCCACAGCTGAAGAGTTCAGGGAGCTATTTGTAGCAGCTGCCCTCCTACGCTTATTTTTTTATTCTATTCTATTCTATTATCTTTTATTTTTTGAGGCGGAGTCTCACTCTGTTGCCCAGGCTGGAAGGCAGTGGTGCAATCTTGGCTCACTGCAACCTCTGCCTCCCGGGTTCAATAGATTCTTCTGCCTCAACCCCCCAAGTAGCTGGGATTACAGGTGCCTGCCACCACGCCGAGCTCCTCCTGTACTTTTCAATGCAGCTAATTATTGGCAAGGGTGGACAACTGACTGAAATAAGCCAGTCTGTTCATTTATTCATTTAAAAAAAAATTAAGTGCAGGGAATAAACTGGTGAGCACTGTCTCTATTCTGAGTTAATCTAGCGAGAAAGACAATTGTTAAATAAAGCAGTATATGCTTTGTTACGGGCAAGTCCAGGGTGCACAGAGCAGGAACATTTTTTGTAGTCTGGGAGTGGGGAGAAAGGGGTAGTTGAATATTTTAAGGATAGCTTAAGATGGAAGTGACAGCTTGGCTGAGAGACCTGAAAGTAGAAGTAGGAGTTGGTCAGATGCCAGAAGGGAATAAGAATGGTCTAGGCAGAAGAAATTGCACGGATGAAGATCCACATGCAGAAGAAAACATGACCAGTTAGGATAATTGGAAGCTCTAGTGTAGACTGCATGGATGGTGTCAGAGCAGACAGTAGGTAACAGACAGGTTGGGAAGGCATGGTACTCAGTCAAGTTATCTCTTTCAAGAGTTGTAACTGTAATACTGGGCAATAGAGATGATTGGCTGTGGGGATACAGATCTGGCAATGTCCTGTAGGGGTGAAGCCTGAACTCCTAGCAAACCAGCTCCACACGCTAGGGATTCCTCCTTTTTTTTTTTTTTTTTTTTTTTGAGTCAGAGTCTCGCTCTGTCGCCCAGGCAGGAGTACAGTGGAACGATCTCGGCTCCCTGCAAGCTCCGCCTCCCGAGTTTTTTTAGTAGAGACAGGTTTTCACGTGTTAGCCAGGATGGTCTCTATCTCCTGACCTCGTGATCCGCCCGCCTCGGCCTCCCAAAGTGCTGGGATTACAGGCGTGAGCCACCGCGCCCGGCCGGATTCCTCCTTTTAGGTTCAAGTCTCCATTGGCCCTCACACATTTGATTTCCCACCCCTGAACACCTGTAAGATTTACTGTCATATTCTTACAGTGAATGGATTCCCTTTAACACAAGCGAGTACAAGAGGGTTTGTACTTCTTGCTATCAAGTAGTGGAGCCAAACCTCTGATTATTAAGGGGCCACTGGATGTTAGTTATAGCTAGAAGGCAGGGTCCTGTTTGTAGTGTTAGTCTGTTTATTTGGGGAAAGGTATTGACATAAGGCTGAAGCATTGTATGAAAATTTGCTGTTTAAAAATCTTAGCGGGAGCTTATACTGCTAGAAGATTCACAAGCGCAGAAGCACTCTGTTTTGCTGCTTTCAAGAAAATAAATGGTTAAGAAGGTGGCTCTAACAACCAATCAACAACCTAATTGCAAGCAAAGTGTCTAAGGAAATAACCTGAGTGATGGCTGACCTTGCAGGCAGAACTCTCTGAGGGTGCTTTTCAACTGTGATTTTACCCCCAGGGGACATTTAACAATATCGGGAGGTATTTTTGGTAGTCACAACTGAGAAGTGGGGTGCTTCTGGCATCCAGTGGGTAGAGGCTGCTGAACATCCAACAATGCACAGGACAAACAAGAATGAGTCGGCCTGAAATCTCGACAGTGCCAAGATTGAGAAACCCTGCTCTATGACAACAATAAACAGAACCTCACTCTTTCAGGAACTGAAAAAACAAAAACAAAAACAAAAAAAAAAAACTGTCTCTCTGAAATGGTGAAAATGACTTTGGAACTCCCTTGATCTACCTCTACAGTTGCCACGCAAAATAAAATAAACCAATAGTTTCTAGTCTTAAAACAAGAGCGTGAAATGTCCCTTTATCAGGACTGAGGAATATCTGAGGACTAGAGTTGAACATTCAGGTGACAAACTGTTAAACAATGGTCTCCACAGAGGAGTGTGTTTATCCTAGGGTAGAAAGAAGACAACACACCGGGTTCCGAGAACAGAGCTTCCATTTACTTTTTTTTCTTTCTTTTTTTTTTGAGACGGAGTCTTTCTCTGTTACCCAGGCTGGAGGGCAGTGGCGCGATCTCGGCTCACCGCAACCTCCGCCTCCCAAGTACAAGCGATCCTCCTGCCTCAGCCCCGATAGTAGCTGGGATTACAGGCACGAGCCACCATGCCTGGCTAATTTTTGTATTTTTAGGAGAGACGGGGTTTCACTATGTTGGCCAGGCTGGTCTCAAACTCCTGACCTCAGGTGATCCACCCGCCTTGGCCTCCCAAAGTACTGGGATTGCAGGCGTAAGCCACCGCCCCTGGCCCCTATTTACATTCTTAACCTTAAAAAAAAAATTAAAGTTGCCTTGTGCTTTCATTTGGTCTGGGTGCCAGACAAGTGTTAAATACAGAGCGAGGCCTCCTGAGAGAAGAGCAGACACTTCGTTTGAAGGAATGATGGTGGGAGCTCACTTCCCTGAGAGCATTCTTCTGTCCATGGTCTGGATCAGTCAAAATTATCAGCTTTTGTTTACATCCAAGCAACACTACTCCAACTAGCGTAGGTATTGGAACAAATGTTCATAGTCCTGAGGGTACGACACTGATAAGATCCCAAGGGGAAATAAAAAGCTTTCTATTTGAGCAAAAAGGTAAAGCACTATGCAGTCATCTTTTTTGGCGTTCGTGGCACATCATAACAGATCTCACGAAAGCAATTAAAATTCCTATATTATTAGGATAACTTTGCGTAATTAAAATCACATAAGTGTACAACAGCTGAAAACACAGCATTAAATACAACTTTGAAGTCTAATTTTTACCACTTGATAACCGTATGAAACTTTGCGAACATTTTGTGAGTCTTGGCAGTAGATGGCGCTCACCCTTACTAAATAAAAGTCTTAGCAGTGCCTGAACACTAACAGGCACTTAAGAATCCAGCTCTGATGCCAGGCAATCCCGTATCCAGGTCAGGTCACTTTTCTAAGTCTCAATTTCCTCACTGGTAATGTGGGGGTGGCAGCCGCCCCAATGGCCTCCAACTCAGACAGCTTTTGATTCTCTGACTACAGTGGTGGAGTTGACACAGACCGGCTGCTGCAACCGCCGCCTGAAATAGCAATTCGGAAAAGTCAGGCTGAGAAAGTGACAGAGTAGACGCTCTGCGGCTCTGACCCGGGCGGCGCCTCAGCAGCCCACACTACGTGGGCGGCAAAGCACAAACTCCTTAACCACGTGGTGCCTCCATTCCCCTAGGGAGTCCCATCATAGGATAACTTCCAGCAAAATCAATCTTCAAGAAAAAAGGAAGGGGTCCTGCAGAGAATATAAGGAAACACTCTGGGGATCCGGCAGCACAGCACAAACTTAGTTCTTGTGAGCCGCACAAAACCAACTTCCGCCCCAGCGGAGTTGCGTCCGGAAGGCGCGGCCCTGGAGGTCACGTGGGGCCGCGGAATTACGGCCTGGCGAGGCGGTCAGGTGGACGCCGTAGGCTACGTCATGTCGGCTGTTCCATGAACGTCAGGGTGGGGACCGTCCCTATCGCAGGTATGAGACAAGTCCAGCTGCGTCGTGAGTGGCAATTGGAGGGGAAGAAGAATGATTTTCAGGGGCTCCCAGTTTTCTTGGCTGTGGCACAGTCTCTTTGAGGGCCAGGTTCCTTCGGTTTCCTCCCAACTCCCCTGGTTCCCCCCGTAGAATTCCGTTGGTATCGCCCAAGCCCCACCTCCCTCCGCTTCGCCCCCGCACACTGAGAACAGGGGCCCCTCACGTGACCCCAGCGCGCTCCCGCGGGGAAACATAGTCTCGGAGGCGGCGCCGCAGGAGACTGAGGAGTTGACCGAGCGTTGCGCGCCGCAGCTTTCCCCCGGACGTCAGCGTTGAGGACACGATGTCGCGGCTCTCCCGCTCACTGCTTTGGGCCGTCACCTGCCTGGCCGTGCTCTGCGTGCTGTCTGCGGAAGGGAACACAACGCCGCACACGAACGTGACGAGTTTAGCGCCCACCTCCAACATAACCTCGGCGCCGGTGACGTCCCTCCCGCTGGTCACCACTCCGGCACCAGGTGGGCGCGGGCCCTATGGGCTTTCCGCCGAGCCGCACTGCCTGCCCGTCTTGCGGTCGGGGCCCGGGCTGCGGCCAGGGTCGGGCGGGCCGGCCGCGCTCGGGGTGCGGTGGCCACTTCGGCAACATGGCGGCCCGCCTGGAGTCCACTCGCGGTTGAGCCGGGTGGGGAGCGCGCTGGGGGGCAGGGGACTCGCGATTCCCCGTGGCTGCGGGGCTGGGGCCCACCTCGAAGTGTTCCAAGTCGAGGTGCCTTTTAAAAGTGCATGGTAATCCCTAGCCTCACTTGGGGTCGGAAGTGAGGACGTGGCTTTTTTTCGCGGGGGCAGCGGTGGGGTTGAGGAGGGGGCCGGGCGTCGCGCCTCTGAGGTTGGCGGTGGGGCCGAGCTGCCTCTCGCTGCGGCCGGTCGCCTCTCTCCGGCGGTAGCTTTCTCCGGAAGTCCGGGAAAGAGAAACTTAAAGACGGTAATGCTCGTTGGTGTCTCAGACTTGAGTCTGAGAAAGCCGCTTGGGATTTAATTACATTGATTCTGCAGATAGGAATAGAATGTAACTGAGGTTTGAGCACATAGTTAGTGAAAACTTCACACTTCATGGTGTGCGAAAAGGAAGAAAAGTACCCATGTATGTACCGAGTGTTTTGCGTACGTATCCTAAGGCTCAACTGGAAGGTAAGTAGTGAAACCTAGGAGGTAGGTGTAGAGACAGAGATGAGTAAACTCTCCTCGCAGTGTATGTTTATTCTTTTTTTCAATTGTTTTTAAAATTTTCTTCACTATGTCCTGTGCTCAGACGGCGTATTAGTAGGTTGTGGAATTGGGATTTGTGCCCAGGTCTGTGGGTTTTCTAAAATCTGATCAGGAGCATGTCTTCTGTTATGTACAGTCGAATAGGGCTGGTTAAGGTATACATACATTTTAAAGCAGAAATTGGCACATACCGTGACAACGCAAAAGAGAGAAGGAAGATAAGTTTGAGGTAATAAGCAGGAGAAACACCAGATGTTTAAAACCTGCAGTCTCGTATGATTGGTTATTGTAGTTAACATTGGTTTTTCGACCGAAGAATGCCGAAGTGTAATGATTTTTATCACGGCATTCATAGTCTACAAATTCTCCTCTAGTTTTAGTATTTTATAAAAGTTTGATAAAGTACATAGTAAACTTAATGTTTTGTTAGTTTCAGGAAGATGTAATGGTAACATTTCAAAACGAGGGAAGTAAATTGCAGTATAATACTGGGAATTCTAACCGCACTATTTTTAAGGTGATAGAGCAGAATATGTTTGTCTCCGACTTAATTTGGCAGTTTCCTTTCAGAATTGTAGTGTGTGTGTAAGAGAAGGTTGGAAGTATCAAATTAATTGCCTTTGTGTAATTGAAGTGCATGCAAAGGAGGTACGTATTTTCTGGAAATCATAAGTGGGTGTGGTGTGGTCTGAAAGGTAGGAAGTTTAGTTCATTGTAAAGAACATTTCAGACATTTCGCTCCGCTACCCCCATCAAGCACAAAGATTTTTAAACAGCATGTTTTATGTATACAAACTTAAAATTCATTTCTACTTTATGAACCCTCCTCCCCCCGCACCGTACGTGTCCCAGTCTTTAATAAGTACTAATGGTGAAGTATTGAACGCGGTGCCTCTGCAGAACTATTTTTTAGGCAGGAGCAAAGCAAATGAAAATATTCGGAGGCATCTAGTTTCTAGGAAAATGAATAGAGCCCAATTCTTTTTTTCTTTCGTCTTACTGCTTTTACTCACTGGAAAATAGAGCGCAATTTTATAGTCCGTTCTTCTCCGGAAATTGAATTATGGTGGTGAGTACTTGTTTCTGGACTGTTTGGCCTAGGATGAACTATTGACAAATACCTCGTTAACTTGAATTATATGCACGTGAATATGGCCTTATAGATGTTGTCTCCAGTTGTAGAGGATCCTGTCAAGAGTGGATCATTTATGAATCGAGAATCCCTGGGAAATGATCTTTTTTTGCAGCAGAACGGGCATCATCAGGGCTTGGGTTCAACCTGTTAAACTACTACTGTTACTACTAAAAATCTCAGGGTTTTATCTGATGTTTGTGGGTAGTGATTTTCTCATATGTAGTGTTGGTCTTACAGCCAAGCCTTTTTCTCAATATTTTTATGTATTAAGGATGCTTTGAAATGCCTGAATCCTTAATGACTGTGTGTGTCTTTCAACTAGTTGTCCTGTGAAGAAGGATTGGTTAGATAGATACCATCAGACACTGTACTAAGAGTGACCACTAGCTTGTTTGTTTTTCTAATGCGTTTACTTATGGCTTTGTAATGATTGGAATTTCTTAGTAAGCCAGTTTATAAAGTTTTATCATTTCTTTGAATTAGTAATTTTGGTCCTGTATGTAATACTTACTGTTCAAAAAGATAAGTAATACAGATTCAGATAAGATACCAATAAAATCATTGATTTCATGCATCTCTTCCCCCAACCCCCCAGAAACCTGTGAAGGTCGAAACAGCTGCGTTTCCTGTTTTAATGCTAGCACTGTTAATACTACCTGCTTTTGGATAGAATGTAAAGGTAAGAAACTTTGGGGATGCAGAACTGTTTTGTTATAACATTTTAAAATACAATAACTCTTAAACACTTGGAAGTTATGTAGGACATTTAGGATATTGTGCACTATTTATTTTGTAAATCCAGTACTCCTTTAAAGTGCCAGTTGCCTAGCACTCCTCCTGAAAGTCTCTTTTTGTCTCCCATCCCCCCTTTAGATTCCTGAATACTTGATAACTAAAGCTCAGTAGTTTGTTTTTTTATGAGATAGAGTCTCCTGTGTTGCCCAGGTTGGTCTTGAAATCCTAGGCTCAAGCAATCTTCGTAGCTTGGCCTCCATAGTAGCCAAGGCTACAGGTGCGTGCTTCCACGCCTAGTTTTTTTAAAAGGCTGTTTTAAGGATTAAGAGTACTTTAATAAACTGAAATTAACTGTGAATGAAGGTTATGTTGAAAACTGTTTGAGACATTGATTTACAGATATTCTGCAACGTGAAATACGAAGAGACCTGATTAACTGTTGGATGCTTAGGTATAGAGAAGAATGAGGCAGGGAGAGTTGACTCTTCTGTGCTTTTGTTAATACAAGAGGTAGAGAACTAGCGGGAAGTACATTGAAATTCAATAAAGTTCTTAGTAGAACCATGAGATTACTGCATAAATTATTTTAATTCTGTTTTTTTAATTTAAAGTGGTTGTACTTTCTTATCAGTAAAACAATCTAGTCGTTTTGGTGGTTTTTTGTTTGTTTTTAAGTAGAAAAACTAAAGCTACATAAGTTTTTTTATTTGGTAAAAATTTTAGTAGTACTGGAAATTACATCACTACGTAAATTTCAGAAGGCTCTTTAAGGTATGAACTAAATTGGGGTAAATTAACTTTTTTGTTACAGAAGTGTCTCTTTTTTAGGTCATAAAATGGGATTTAAGGGTGTACTCTTCACCTTTATGTGAGAGTATGCAAGAGTTGGTGAATTTTGGAGATGGAATGCTCTACTTTAAGATTTCTTGGGAAAGGTTCTCCCCTTAACTCTTGCTCCAAGTCTACCTATCCAGGAAAGTTATTTTAGAAAGTATGGAAGACTAAAGCAGTGAGATCTGGAATAGAGTTTCTACAGTGTTATGGGGTGCTTCTTCTGTTTACTAAACCTCTTAATAAAAACCCTGACCACTTCAACTTACTGTCTCTGCCCTTTTTTGTTTTTCTTTTTTAATAGGAGTTCTGTATTCTTAGCAGAGGCAGGGTCTCACCATACTGGTCAGGCCGATCTCGAACTCCTGACCTCAGGTGATCCTCCCGCCTTGGCCTCCCAAAGTGCTGAGATTATAGGGATGAGCCACGTGCCCTCTTTTTAGATGATGGCCGCCTTTCTTGATTGTGCAGCAGTCTTTCCACAATTCTGAGATCTAAGTGTTGCAGATTTGTTTGTTCTGTATATTAATGTGGATTTTTAATGCATAAAAGGGATCCTGTGTAATCTCTAAGTCAATGGGAAAAGGAGAATGACAGGATTTTATCTGTGGGTTTAACTTTGGGTCAAAACACCTCTAAAGTTGGTTGTTGTTTCCCCCCCCCCCCCCCCCCCCCCCCCCCCCCACTTCTAAAGTGTTTGGGTTTGATGTCATAGAGCTTAGTAGCAAAGTCAAAGATAATACAAATGGGTGGTTGATGCTGTTTGTCTCTCCCCTCCCGCCGCCAACAGATGAGAGCTATTGTTCACATAACTCAACAGTTAGTGATTGTCAAGTGGGGAACACGACAGACTTCTGTTCTGGTGAGTATTCATATTGGCTGCTTGGAAGCTGACCACAGAGAGGTGAGGAAGATCATTGCCTCAGAAAACCTTGTTTCAGTACTTTGTTTGAAGCATTGCCATAATTCTCATCTTGTTAGAATTGGAATATGAATAACATATTCGTATTGATTGATTAAAGGATGCTATTTGAAGCGTGATTTAGTGATTTAGCTACAGTGTGGATGGTGTAAGTGTAGATGCATTTTCTGCCCCCACACCTTTTTTTTTTTTTTTAAGCTTTTCTAGGAATTCATCACAGTTTAGACCCTATGTATTTTGCAGGTCTGGAAAACCTCATTCTAGCACTTTTTGTGTTATGATACTGGGGATTGTTGATTCTTATATTTAGTCTGCAGCATCGTTGGTGCTATGGTTAAATGAGCTTTTCTATACCCATCAGTTTTCTGTATTTTAATCTAAGTAACTTGATTGCTCTTTAACCTTTACTATTCGTCCAACAAAATGTTAAAATTCTACTTGAAGCTGCTGATTTTTCTAATGAGATTGTAAATCAGTGGGAAAGGCATGTTCCTAATTTGATGCATAGATAATAATTGAATAGAAAAAGATTTTTGTGGAGTATGTCTAACCTTGGAAGACTACCTTTGACTCTTTAATTTTGGTAGGGGTTGCCCCATCCCAGTGTGAATTTGGTAACTGAAGATTTCATTAGTATTAAATCAGTTTTACTTTACACGGGGTGCATAATATAGTTCGGTGGTACAGGAACAAACTTTTTTTGAGACAGTCTCTTTGTTGCCCAGGCTGGAGTGCAGTGGCGCAATCATAACTCATTGCCACTTTGTATTCCTGGGCTTAAGTAATCCTCCCGCCTCAGCCTCCCCAGAACCTGGGATTACGGGTGCATGCCACCATAACTGGCTAACTTAAAAAGTTTTTGTAGAGATGGTGTCTCACTATGTTGCCCAGGCTGGTCTTGAACTCCTGGGCTCAACCAGTCTTCCCACGTTGGCTTCTCAGAGTGGTGAAATTACATGCTTGAGCCGCCAGACCTGGCCCAAACATTTTTAATAGTTATTTATTTTAATATGTGTGAGATAAACTAATAACTGTCAGACCTGTGGTTTTGTGATACTGCTTAGAGACAAAATTAAGTAATGAAGATTTTGTTAGTATTAGAACGTTTTTGAAAACACTGATTTAAAGGAAAACTGAATTTTTAATGCTGCTTATTTGATGATATACCAGTTAGAATTAGTTCTAATTATACCAGTTAGAAATAGTTTCAGCTATGAAGGACATAAACCCCCAAATTACAATGGTTTAAGCAGTGGACTGATTTACTTTTCTCTCATGTAAAGGAAGTGTGGAGTAGAGTTCAGTTCAGCTCTGCAACCATTAGGAACTGAGGCTTCTTTAGGTTTTCACTCTTTCACTTCTCAAAAATGGCTTTGACCCTACTGTCCAAGGTGGGTGCTTATGTTCCAGCCCTCACATTGATTTTTTTCCTGCCAGCAGGATGAAGAAGGGAGTGAAAGGCTTGTATCTTACTTTAAGGATGTTTCCTAGAGGTTACGCATGATGACCTAGATGCACTGGAGACTAGGAAATGTCTTTTCAGGAGGAAGGGAGGTGTTGATAAAAATTGGTGATTCTATTTCTAAAGAAGAAGAGACTGGTATTTGGGGGCAACTGTCAGTCTCTTCCATAGGTAGTACTTAAGTATTGTAAAAAGTGGTACTCAAATGATTGCAGGTCAGGAAGTAGCGTTATAGATTGTGATATTTTAAATAGCTTTGAGGTATATGGTTTTTCTTTTTTCTTTTTTTAGTAGTGCCCACAGCCACTCTGGTGCCAACAGCCAATTCTACAGGTAATTCAAGATGACCATTTTCTTCCTTTTGCTTCAGTATTTTTAAGCTCTTAATGGATTAATTTTAAATAATTATGTAAAAGTTGTTAGTATAATTTTAAAGATGAGTAAAAACTTAAAGTCTTAGACCACAGCAGTTCACGTTAATCTCTACCTTTTGTGGCAGTGACACATAGCTCCAGTGTTTTATATTTGGGGAGTATGAGCAGATTTGCTGAGGCTGTGTACGTTGAGTCTATAAAGTACTTTTTATAGATTTAGTGGAAATCTTGGGAAATATAGAAGCTTAAAGCAAATTATAATTATTATCATCCAGAGCACCCCAAAATGTTTTCAGTGATTAATTTCTTCTAGTCTTTTTTATATGTGTATCTAGATAAATACACTTTTTATGAAATTGTACAATAATGCTCATGCACCTTTGTATTTCTTTTTTTTTTTTTCTTTTTTTTCTTTTTTTATTGGAGGCGAAGTCTTGCTCTGTTGCCCAGGCTGGAGTGCAGTGGTGCAATCTTGGCTCACTGCAACCTTCACCTCCCAAGTTCAAGTGATTCTCCTGCCTCAGACTCCTGAGTCGCGGGGATTACAGGCACCTGCCATCATGCCCAACTAATTTTTGTATTTTTAGTAGAGACACAGTTTCACCACGTTGGCCAGGCTGGTCTTGAAATCCTAACTTCAAGTGATCCGCCCACCTCAGACTCCCAAAGAGCTGGGATTACAGGTGTGAGCCACCGTGCCCAGCCTGTATTTTCTCTCTTAATGTAAATATTATGGTATACACTTAACCCATCCTGCTCTTGATTGGAGAGTTAGGACATCTCTCACTCTCCATGCAGTGAACATCTCATATGGAATTGCATTTGTATTTATCTCTAATAGGATCGAGTCAACAGAATTTCTAGGTCAGAGGGTATGATTATTTTAAGACTTTCCAGAAAGATTTATTATTTTCATTCCTGTCAACCTGGAAAGTTTTTATCATACCCTCAACAGCGTGGATAAGAACTCCTTAAAATTTACTAACTTGATAGGAAAAGTAAATATTAAATACTTAACATTTTACTAATATTAAATGCATCTATTCCAAGACAAGTACTAGGGTAGATGGTAGGGATAAGCCAGCCTTTTGTCTGCTGTAGGAACAATGAAAGATCTCAGCACAACAGGTTGGGAAATTTGTAGGAAGGTATGTGTATTGGGTGGGATGCAGATGTGGTGATAGCTTGGTAGTGAAACGGCACTGGTAAAACTTGGAGAGAGCCTCCCAGGTGGAGCTGCAGGTCAGCACATGTGGAGGAGATGTGAAGTAGTACAGTGAGGTCAAAGAGTGTCCCATCCTGTGCAAGGTGAGAAGCAGTTAAGTTGATCTGTCACCAGGGCAAGAGCAGAATGGGGAAGCACTTTTGTATGCCTTGATGGTAGACTTGGATGTTATCCTGAAAGATTTTAAAGTATGTAGGTCATATGATCAGACTTGCATTTTAGTAAAAGAACTTATTTTGGCATTGTGGAGAGTAGGTTGGAACGATGCCAGAAGGAACTCAGGAGATTAGATAGCCAGTTACAGTAATTCTAGAGGACAGAGGTGGGCAGCAGATGTTTGCAAGTAGGTTTAGAAAGTAGAAGGGGTAGGACTTCATGACTGAGAGAAGGAGAGGTAGAGTGATAGGGAGAAGGGGAGGAATTTTCACCAAAGTAAGCAAAAAAGAGGAAGAGCAGTCATTGATGGTTGGCTGTCATTTGGGATTTTAGTTTAAGATGCCTAGAATCCATTTAAGTGGGATCTGTTCAGTGTTCAGGAAACTGCAAGTCAGGCAAGAGCTCTTGGTTAAAAATATAAATTGGCATAGATAGTAGTAGAGGCACTGGAGGAGCATATAGAAAGAAGAGATGGGGCTTGAGGACCAGACTCGAGGAAACAGTAATGTCTAAGGGCTAGGAAGAGGATAGGGGAGGAAATAGGGATGGGTAGGGTAGTTAAAAAGCCCAGAGAAGTATGTGCAAGAAACTAACCGTATGTGGTTGTGGGTGTCATTTTTCAAAGGAAAAAGTGGTCAAGTGCTCTAACAAGGACAAGAACTCAATCTTGAAACTGTTGGGCAGCGGTGTGTGGAGCTGGCTTGGACAAACTTTTGCTAGCCAGTTATGAGTAGCTCTTTCCAACCCGTGTTCAGTGATACCGTGTTGGTAACTTGAAACTGGTTACCATGGAAATAGTCATGCCATGGAAGTCTGCAAATGATACAAAACTTATTTTGAGCTGATGATTATATGGTGATGTGGTTGTAAATGTTTAACACTCATTAGAAGACATTGACTAAGTAGCATGTTGAAGGTTGCTGAAACCAGAGGTGTTTGGAGAAAAGTAATTTTCAGAAGGTTGGTTATGAAAAGAAAATGGGGTGCAGGAAGTGGGGGAACAATTTCTTCAGAACTGTTGTTCATTTCTTCAGAACTAGGTTCACTCTTGATGTAGTTCTCTGCAGCTTTCTCCACCCTGGGTCCTCCTGTGAATTGCCATGAGTCTTTTGTGCTGTAGCTCTCTTTGGTGCTGTAAAGGTGGAAAGTGGCAAGGGCTTATCTGCAGAAAATGCATCAATTAACACTAGTTGAAGAACAAACCTTTAGGCGGTTGCTTTTCCTGGCATGTGTACCTTCTGCCAAAGAGAGCAAGTGAGAAATGAAGGGGCAGTTAATGCAAAGAGAATCTAATTTATATAGAAGAGTGCATAATGAGGTTAATTATAATGGCCCTCCTTCAGTACAAATAATAGAATAGCCAAAATATGTCAGATATAGTGGAAAATGTTTATATGAAGTGGAAGGTAAACTGTATTAAGCAATTGTAGTACAATTTTAGCTTTTGTATACATGCCTAGAAAAATGGCAGGAAGTAACCTTTTTCTCGGATGGGACTAATTCAGTATTTTTATGGCATTTTCTAGATTTTCTTACCACTAATAGCAGCTTTTATAACTTAAGATTTTTTTGTTACCTTTCCTAATGATTTTTTTTTTTTTTTTTTAGTAAAATAGTAGGTCAACAGAGGTATATTCCCTAAGTGGTGCTTTTATTTTGAAAATATTGTCAATTTTTCAAAATATTGTCATTTTTTCAAAATTGAAAATAAAATATTTTGCCTACTTATAAAAAAGAACTAGTTTTTACCTTGTTCTGAGGCTGGGTAGTGAGAATCAAATTGCAAATTTGCAGAATTTTTTTTCCTAACATTGTCAAACAATTAGTAATAGTGTTTTGAGATTGAACAGAATTTGATGTGTTTAACTTGTAAAGTTATTTTTTGTTGTTACATGGAAGCAGTAAAAACCTTGATAGGAATAATGAGCTTTAACGTAATCACAGCCTCTAATCTAGGAATTCTGTGTAAGGACCAGTCTTATCAGAGATAAGGTCAAATATTTTCCCCTAAGATTTTCCCAGCATGGAGAGATGAGAGAACTGTTTAATCAAGAGCAGAATGGATGAAAGTATGTACAACAGTGCTTGAAGTAAGAGGGAAAAGAAAGCAAATAGGTCTGAACATATCCATCAGTATTATTTGTATATCACCTATTAGCTTCTAAGTAGTATCAATACTAATAAAAGAAGTCTTAAGCTCTCTGTTTACTCATTGTCATGTAAAAATTAGAATACTTTAGTTTCCTAGGATTCTGTCAACTTTGGGACATGGGTAGTCTACCTGTTACGAGAGTCCTCGTCTTTAAAGATACGCTTTTAGCAATATTCAGATATTTAGCAATATCTGAAAACTGTCAAGCCCTGCTCTTTCAGTGTATATTTACTGTTAAAGCCCAGAACTTTCTCTTTTATATTAGTAGAATTTGGGAGGATGCTGATTCCTATTGAGGTTTTTATTTTGATTGTTTGAAAGTCTAATACAGTGAAAAGATTACCTCATTTCTGTGCTTCATCAATAGGTATTTGGCACCCTTTCCCTGTCTTTTGTGGGTTAAGCATATCACTTTGAAGTCTATTCAGTTATGTACTTTAAACAGAAGTAACATTTGTTTTCCAGATTCTCTTTAGCCCTCAAATCCTTTTTTCTGAAACAGTACAAAAATGAATGTTTGCATAGCACCTTACATTTTTATAAAAATATAACTCTCATATGATTAATCTTCCTCATCTTTCCCCAAAGCATCCCTAGCTGCCCACCAGCATAAGCAGATTCTCATATTGAAGCCCTTGCACTCTGAAGCCTGACTTACCTAATGATTTCCTAAGACAAAAGAAGCTCTCTTAGCTAGTGACTCCTATAGTGCACTTTCCAAAAATTTGAACCCTACCCTTAGGACAACCTCTTAATGAAACCTTTCTCAAACGCTCCAGCAAACTTTGAATTTATTTGGTAGCCATTTGGATGTTAGAAAAAATGTTAATTTGTATAAACTATATTCACATCCTTCCTTTTTGAAAGCCTTGGTCAGACTTCTATTAGTATTGATACTACTAGTAGAAATTTAATAGGTAATATACTGGCTGGACACAGTGAGTCATGCCTGTTATCTCAGCACTTTGGGAGGCCAAGGCGGGCAGATCACTTGAGTTCAGGAGTTTGAAACCAGCTTGGGCAACATGGTGAAACCCCATCTCTACTAAAATTACAAAAGTTAGTTGGGAGCAGTGGCGGATGCCTGTAATCCCAGCTACTTGGGAGGCTGAGGCAGGAGAATCACTTGAACCCAGGAGGCAGAGGTTGCAGTGGGCCGAGATCGCAGCATTGCACTCCAGCCTGGGCAACAGAAAGAGAGACTCTCGGAAAAAAAAAAAAAAAAATTGATATACTAATTATTTAGTAGCTCTTTGCATGCTAGGAAAAATGTTAATTTGTATAAACTATAACCACATATATGAGAACTCTTACAGATGACAACTTGTAATACACGTTGTTCACTGTTCCCTTCTTAAGAGTGCTTTAGGCTGGGCGCGGTGGCTCACGCCTGTAATCCCAGCACTTTGGGAGGCTGAGGCGGGCAGATCACCTGAGGTCAGAGTTCAAGACCAGCTTCGTCAACGTGGTGAAACCCCGTCTCTCCTAAAAATAAAAAATTAGCCGGGCATGGTGGCACGTGCCTGTAATCCCAGCTACACAGGAGGCTGAGGGAGGAGAATTGTTTGAACCCGGGAGACGGAGGTTGCAGTGAGCCAAGAATGCGCCATTGGACTCCAGCCTGGGTGACAGAGCAAAACTCCGTCTCAAAAAGAAAAAAAAAAAAAGAGTGCTTTAGTCCCTAAAATGATTTTACGTTCAAACTGATCCTTCTCAGAATGTGCATTTCTTTAGCAGTATCATCAACTCTTAGGCTGGTGCGAAAGTAATTGCAGTTCTTGCCAATAAAAGTAATGGCAACTCAAGTAGTATTTTGTCCCCATGCTATGTGGTGGACTAGAGCTTACACTTGGGCTCTTAGAATCTTATGTGGGGGAACTGCGGGCCCAGGGCCTCTGTTCTTACAAAGCTTCATTGGGAACACACCATGCTCATTCATATGCAGGGTGACTTTGGCTGCTTTTGCATTACACAGTGCCCAAAGAGTAAAATACTTGCTTTCAACCTGTTTAAGAAAAATTTGCCAACCCCTGAAGTGAAGAAGATAGGCAAGTCTCAGTACCCTTGTAAGAGAGAACTTACGACTTTATACTTACAACTTTAATAGTTTTTGTCTTAGGAGAAAGATTATGAAGAACTGATAGTTTCCTCCCCTAAATATATTCTTGCCCTTGGCTGTGAGCAAGATAAAAAAGTTTTGGCAAATTTTATCCAGATATACATAGATTTTATACAAGATATATACATAGATATTAACAATTTTATGATTGCTTAATGTTTTAAAATACACTTAAATCCTAGTATTCTTGGGTGCATAGCTATGTTAGTGAACCATTAACTGAAATTTGGCTTTTGGTCTCTTAAAAAATTGAAAGCATGTTGAAGTTGGCAGCATTATTTTTTGAAGCTGTTAGATAACTGGGAAGCTAGAAATTTAAGGTTTTTTAAAAAGACATTTTGTTTTCATTCCAGCTAAACCCACAGTTCAGCCCTCCCCTTCTACAACTTCCAAGACAGTTACTACATCAGGTAATTGAGGCTTTTTAGATTAACAGTGATGTAGGATGTGTGTACGATGTTGCCCTTTACAATTTCTACCATCATTTTCCAGGTTTCTTCATTAATGGTTATGGAACTGCTCTTACATTTAGGGGGGATCAAGGTGTAGTGCTTTGTTAACACAATAATGATAGCTTGGCTGAAATTCCTCTTCTCATTTTTAACTGTGTAATCACAGTTGACGTGACACTTTAGAATTAAGTAGTAATGTTTTTCCAAACATTTCAGTACAACTTGTATGTAAAATCGGATTGGTTGTGTGTTGTATAAGAGAGCATGGCAATTTGAGGGAAGATGTATATCCGTCCTTTTCACTGAGAAAGGTCTAAAAAGTCTGAATCACTACCAGATGTGCACCTCACTTACTTAACCTTTTCTTAACATTGCTCAGTAATGTGAATATTAGCTTGTTATTAAATGATGATTTGACATAATCTAATTTAAGTCATATTTAGATTATGCCACAGGATACTGTAGGTACACAGGTTAGGAATCCTTTCCTCCACCCATATTTTTAAAAAACTGATGCTAATGAATCTTCTACCTGCTTTTTGTGATTTCTTTGGCTTCATGCTTACGCCACCTTTTTCTCATTTTCAGTGAAGCCACTCAGTCTTCACAAGAAGGAATACAAAACGGTTGTGATTAATTTTAAAGTAACCAACTTGTACAGCCACTGTACTAAGAAAAAAGTAACAGTTATTTTAAATGGGAAATCGCTTTTTCTGTTTCCTCTTGAAACATTTTACTGCCTGAAAAGAAATTCAGATTTTTGTTTTTTCCTTATTATTTGATAATACTTTCTCACGTGAAATTTATTGGCAGGATATGCCTTTAAAAACAAATTATTTTACTTGTTGAAATTATAATTTGCATATTATTAAGATTATTTTTGTAACATGAAAAATTGCAACCATATTTTTGACCTAATACTAGTAAATTCACAATTCATGTGAATTTTTCAGTACTATTGATGTTTACAGTCGCGATTAACTAAAAGTACATAGTCTGAAGAAATTGTTGCATAGTTTAGAAGTGTTTGATATATTCCCAGGGCACAATTTACATACCAGGAGAATTTTTCCCTTTGTTTTTATATTTGTAGTAGTACAACAACATTGACCACTTTGTATCCTTCGGTGGAATGAAAAATGGGATATGGTTGTCTTCCTCAATTAGGGATAAATTCTAGCTGTAAAGACTTGACTCGAGGAAATAATTTATAAAATTTAACACATGGCAAAATAGAGGCTCAGGTGAGTCTTTAAATTACAATACAGGACCATGAAACTTAGGAATGTTACTTCTCGTCTTCCCTAACAGGTACAACAAATACCACTGTGACTCCAACCTCACAACCTGTGCGAAAGTCTACCTTTGATGCAGCCAGTTTCATTGGAGGAATTGTCCTGGTCTTGGGTGTGCAGGCTGTAATTTTCTTTCTTTATAAATTCTGCAAATCTAAAGAACGAAATTACCACACTCTGTAAACAGACCCGTTGAATTAATAAGGACTGGTGATTCATTTGTGTAACTCACTGAAACCAAAATACTATCTTTCAAGATGTCCCACATGGAAGACGCTATTCCAGGATCTTTAAATTTCCATGGATGCATATAGGATGTTTGGGAGCATCATCCGTGAAGAAAAAATCAATTAAATCATTGTGTTCAACAGGAATATTTAAAATACTCTGCATGAATCCTGTGGCCGTCTTCTTTTGTTCTAAATAGCTGCTGCTGTGGGATTATTATTTTTTTTTCCTTAACATGCCAAATGTAACTTTCTGTAAGTGATGGAAAATGTTGTCTTGTGCAGACAACATCATGACTCTTGGCAGTTTAAATTTAGTAATTTTAATTTAGTGAGCAGAATTGAGAAGAACGTGCCAAATGAGAATCAATTAGGTGGATTTTTGGCTGTCATTTCAAAAGTGGAATAAATTTATAAATTTAGTAGTACAAATGGTATCCTTAGAGTAAAATTTTGTGCTTGATAACAGCTATTTTTTCTACATTAGAAATAAGATGCCACACAAGGAATTACATTCCAGATTTAAAGAAATGAAAGGATACCATTAGTGTATAACAGGTTATTGTTCATACTTGTAAAGCACCTTATGTCATTGAGAAAATAAAGAACAGTGCCTTAGAAGACAGTGAAAGGTGAGCTCTAGCTATTATGATTTGTTCTTTCACATTAAAGAAGGGAAGGATTGGTCAGCGGATGTAACTTGATGTGAGCAAGTAAACCTGTTTTAGATATCATACTGTTAATATTTAATTGAAAATTTATTTCAGAGCAGAGAAACTTAAGCTAAAGGCTGTTATACAAAATTGAAAGACTTCATATATTGAACCTCCCAACATTTTTCTTATGGCTGTTGAAAAGTATAGAGCTAAATTGATTTAATTATACTTTCCTTGGTACTTTAAAAAGTATGCTAGCACTCTTGTACCTTGAAAGGATTTCCACCAGACTTTCTTGAGAAGTGACTTCTTTGGTGAGGCAAGAAGGAAATACATTATTTTAGAATCATTTACTATTTAAATGAGACAATCTTATTATTTTAGAATCATTTATTTAAATGAGACAATCATTTTAAGTTTTAAGACAGAAGTGACCAATGTAATTTCAAAACACCTAAGGATTTTTTGGTTGATCAGGTTACTGTAGATTTTTACTGATTGTCCTGTATAAAAAGACTGTGCTTTTACTTTTTCTCTCCCTTCCTTTCTTCTTGGTTTCCCATAGTATAATAAGCATGCATACTTTAACTTCTATAGTTTTCTCGTTTAGAGGGTCTTCAGTTTTAGAGAATTATTTCTCCCTTGCCTTTGACTCATTGGACTAGTTCAGAGGCTTTAAGTAGTTTAAAATGGGCTTTTGCTTTTCTAGGTCATTAACGGTTTTATTTAGTTTCTTTAGCCAATAGTGGCTGAGTTTCACACTTGATTTTCAATATTTTATAGTAAGAAATGACAGATTGCTTGGGTTCATTTCATAAACTGAAACTCTGCATTTAGATAACTGTTAAAGGTTATTAAGATGAAGATTTACTGTTTCTTTGTTACTCGGTACAGCTGTTTGTTTTACTTGCACATTTGTACATATACCTAATGTTTTCAAGTGCCTTAATTGTTTAAAATCTCTGGCTTCAAAGTTTCTTGGGGAAAGGTAGCTTTACCTCACATTTTTTGTTTCCATTAGTAATATTCTAGGTACCTCACAAAATGTATTATGGTGCCATGGCTGTTAGTTTTTAGTGAGTGCTGTAGGATTAATTTGAAAATAGGCAGAATTCCATTCCTCCAAGGTGGCAAAAATTAGCTACAATGATGTAATTGTCCTTTACCTGGGTATGAATTCCCTGACACACATTAATGTCAACATATGTAGCAAATTTTGTGAAAATGTAACAATTTGAAGGTTCTGTAATTTTGAGCACTGCTCTAACAACAACAAGCATAATATAAAATTAGTTAGATTTTGCAGGTCTACAGATGAGCTCTTGCAACAGAACTCACAGCCTTTTTACTTTTTCCCCTAACTTTAGCAATGTAGTATCTTGAGCCATTAATAATTTTTGGGTTTTTTTTTTTAAAATCCAGAAGGTAATAGAAACCTTTTCAGATTTTTCATCTGATTTGTTCTTGCAGATGTTCTTCTATCAGATACCTTATTTTACCTTACAGATATTTGTTGCACAGGCAGATACTGCTGTATTTAGACATTTCTATTTCAGTTCATTAAAAACTGCAAAACCAATCTGTATCATGTACCAAACTGACTTAAAATAAATCTACATGTTTATTGAATTAATAGTGTGTTACTGCGTTTTGCTTATAAAATTTAATGCTTGCTAGATTTATCTTAGTCCACTTGGGGTGGGTGTTCTACTCAATTTTTATTGCTCCTCTAGACCAGCAGATAGTTACTAAGGCGCATGTTCATATCAATAGAAAGCAGAGCCTTGGAAGTAATAGGTGGAGGGAGGACTTGGTACACCTGTGGGAGTGATTTGCAAGTTGATCTTCCACAAATCAATAGAAATTATGCTGTAGTTTTCCAATAATTTATGAGAGGAATAATATCTTGTTTTTATATATTTGAAAGCTACTTTGTGACTTTCTGCCATTTTAGTTCATATTGCATATAAAGTAAAAACCAAGTACTATTTGGTATAAATTACTACCAAGCTACATGCTGTGATTTTAAAATGTGGTTCTTGTTATTTTGTGGGCAAAATTATGTTCTAGTTTAAATCACTGGACTTGAACTAAGAATTTACTTCTCTATAAACCTTAAAACCTGTAAGGGTGGACTGAATAATTAACTTTAGAAATCATGAATTTTGGGTTTTGTATTAGCCTTACACATGGTAACATTTGATTTAAGTAATACAAAACTTGATGCTAAGCTTAATGACTCTGGTAAACATTAGAAACAAATTTTTTTTTTTTTTGATGTGGAGTCTCTTGTCACCCAGGCTGGAGTCTAGTGGTGCGACCTCAGCTCACTGCAGCCTCCACCTCCCAGGTTCAAGCGATTCTCCTGCCTCAGCCTCCTGAGTGGCTGGGATTACAGGCGCCCACCACCATGGCCAGCTAATTTTTGTATTTTTTTTAGTAGAGATGGGGTTTCGCCATGTTGGCCAGGCTGATCTCGAACTCCTGGCCTCAGGTGATCTACCTGCCTTGGCCTCCCAAAGTGCTGGTATTACAGGCGTAAGCCATCATGCCTGGCCTTGTCCAGTGTTTTTTAGTCATTCCAGAATCCAGCCTCATTTCATCGCAGCTGGAAGAAAAAGTTCAAGATAGGGTTTATAATGTATTATTTTTAAAATTTTCAATTAATAGATTTTCTTAAATATACTTCTTATAAAACAAATTGCATTTAAATATTACAGATATGGTGTCAGTCTGCCTTGACTATCCCCAGCCCTTTTCTCCTCTTGCCTTCCTCTACTTACCAGAATGGTGATACAGAGGTAATCACTGTAACTGGTTTACAATTAATGGATTTATAATCACATAATTGTATGTACCTTTGGAAAATATGTAATGTAGATTTTTATTTTATCATCCTGTAATGTTCACTCACTTTTTGGAGATCTTTCAAATGTAGTGTTACGTGACTATACCAAAATTTTTTTTTCCCCTAGGGTACATGTGCACAACGTGCAGGTTTGTTACATAGGTATACATGTGCTATGTTGGTTTGGTGCACCCATCAACTTGTCATTTATATTAGGTGTTTCTCCTAACGCTATCCCTCCCCCAGCTCGCCACTCCTCAACAGGCCCCAGTGTGTGATGTTCCCTTCCCTGTGTCCATGTGTTCTCATTGTTCAACTCCAGCTTATGAGAACATGTGGTGTTTGGTTTTCTTTTCTTGTTTTCTGTTTTGCTGAGAATGATGGTTTCCAGCTTCATCCATGTCCCTGCAAAGGACATGAACTCATCCTTTTTTAATGGCTGCATAGTATTCCATGGTATATATGTGCTACATTTTCTTTATCCAGTCTATTATTGATGGACATTTGGGTTGGTTCCAAGTCTTTGCTATTGTGAATAGTGTCACAATAAACATATGTGTGCATGTGTCTTTATAGCAGCATGATTTATAATCCTTTGAGTATATACCCAGTAATGGGATGGCTGGGTCAAAGGGTATTTCTAGTTCTAGATCCTTGAGGAATCGCCACACTGTCTTCCACAATGGTTGAACTAATTTACACTCCCACTAACAGTGTAAAAGCGTTCATATTTCTCCACATCCTCTCCAGCATGTTTCCTGACTTTTTAGTGATTGTCATTCTAACTGGCGTGAGATGGTATGTCATTGTGATTTTGATTTGCATTTCTCTGATGACCAGTGATGAGCATTTTTTCATGTCTGTTGGCTGCAGAAATGTCTTATTTTGAGAAGTGTCTGTTCATATCCTCTGCCCACTTTTTGATGGTTTTTTGTTGTTGTTGTTCTTGTAAATTTAAGTTCTTTGTAGATTGTGGATATTAGCCCTTTGTCAGATGGATAGATTGCAAAAATTTTCTTCCATTCTGTAGATTGCCTGTTCACTCTGATGATAGTTTCTTTTGCTATGCAGAAACTTTTCAATTAGATCTCATTTGTCTATTTTGGCTTTGTTACCATTGCTTTTGGTGTTTCAGACATGAAGTCTTTGCCCATGCCTATGTCCTGAATGGGCTAAACCAAATTCTTAATTTCTGTGTTGGTATACGTAGTATGGATACCATAATTGACACAGGTATTTACCTATTGAAAGACAAGCTTTTTGCAGTTTTTAGTTCATAGCAACAATTTTACAGAGCATGTTTGTATCTGCCACCTTGTTTATGTGTGACTTTCTCTGGAGTAGAAATGGAGGCGTGGAAATCTGCTTCAGAGGGTTTCCACACTGAGGACTTTCACAGAGATTGCTTCCCACTTATCACTGGCAGCAGATCACTTGATAACCAAACAGTTTTTAAATTTTAATATTCTGGTGAGTGGAATGATTTCCTTGGTGAATCGTCAATTTTTCTTTTTTTCTTATCAGTTTGTAGGGGTTTTTGTTTTAAATTGAAAATACACTGGTTGCTAATCCATGGTGAATAGATTTTTTTAAATATTTTCTTGGCTGGGCACGGTGGCTCACGCCTGTACTCCCAGCACTTTGGGAGGTCGAGGCGGGCGGATCACAAGGTCAGGAGATCGAGACCATCCTTGCTAACACAGTGAAATCCCTAAAACACAGTGAAATCACTACTAAAAATACAAAAAATTAGCCGGGCGTGGCAGCATGCACTCTGTAGTGTCAACTGTTGGGGAGGCTGAGGCAGGAGAATGGTGTGAACCCGAGTGGCAGAGCTTGCAGTGACCAGAGATCAAGCCACTGCACTCTAGCCAGGGCGACAGAGCGAGAGACTGTCTCAAAAAAAAAAAAAATTTTTTTCTTCAAGTTTATGTCTCTTATATTGGTTTGTGTCAACCAGTGTATAATCAGGAGACAGAAACCATACAATATAAACAGGAAAAGTTGGTATGAAGAGAAATTAGCTATAACAGTGGATTGCAGTGATGAGGCATATTATCTGCGTAATTTGAAGAAATTTGTGAAGCAGTAAAAATAACTTTTTTATTTTTTATTATTTTTTATGAGACGGAGTCTTGCTCTGTTGCCCAGGCTGGAGACTGGAGTGCAGTGGCACGATCACAGCTCACTGCAACCTCTGCCTCCCGGGTTTAAGCCATTTTCCTGCCTCAGCCTCCAGAGTAGCTGGTATTATAGGCATGAGCCACCATGCCTGGCTAATGTTTTTGTATTTTTATTAGAGACGGGGTTTCACCATGTTGGCCAAACTGGTCTCAAACTCCTGACCTCAAGTGATCCACCCACCTCGGCCTCACAAAGTGCTGGGATTACAGGCATGAGTCACCGCACCCAGCCAAAAAAGAACTTTAAAAAATACAGAGATAGCAGATAAAGGAAGCAGCCACCACCCACTCTCCCTCAAGCTGAATTTCAGAACTCAGTGAGCATGCAGTCCTGGCCCTCCGGGTGGAGAAGCTCATGGTAGTGCATAATCTGAGAGTGTGCCGGGGAAGCCATCCATGTTTGTCACACCAGTGGCAGTCTTCTGGGAAGTCGTCCAAGGCAGTGAGTGGTAAGTCACACATAGGAGGTTGCCACACTAGTGGCATTCCACTGTTAAGCTGTGAGCTGCTGGAGCCGGGCACTGAGGGTGTCTGCCTAGAGGAGCAAACCAGAGCCAGGAAAAGAAACCGCTCCAGCATCCTGCCAGTGCCCTTACAAAAAACATCATGCTGCTTCCCCAATACTGAGGCCAGACTCCTCTGAGAAGACTTTCTAGTGTGTCTTAATAGGAAGGACCAGGCTCGATTCCTAGCTTTGTATGACCTCCAAGTACTGTTTTCTCTAAACCTTTTCCCCAGCCTTGTGTATAAAAGGAGAAATAGTCATATGGTCCAGTGTCATTATCACAGAGCAGGCAATGACAGGTGGATTGGGAGCTGAGGCGGGAAATTGGTAATAGTCACAGTCCACCCCTTTGGCTACTTAGCTTCCACATTTGCCAGTCTACACACTTTGACGCTTCTGAACAACAGTAGAACAGCTTTACATTTCCACCTAACAAGATACAGCTATACTTCCTTACAAGTCACATTTGCTCCCTTTCCCCAACAGGAGAAGCCCAGTACCAGCAGTCATTGTTTCCATTGTTGGCTATATGAATTACTCAAGTTCTGTCACTGTTTCACCAAATGCTCTGTTAACAAAAGACCGATTTGTGGCCAGTGTGGTGCCTCACGCCTGTAATCCCAGCACTTTGGGAGGTCGAGATGGATTGGTCTGCAACATTGGTTTCATCCAAAAGTGGAAAGCTAAAGCGCTACAGCCCCACATCCAGACCAGTTCGTATTGGGCAGATCACTGAAGGTAGGGAGTTTGAGACCAGCCTGGCCAACATGGTGAAACCCCATCGCTACCAAAAATATAAAAATTTAACTGGGCATGGTGACAAGACACCTGTAATCTCAGCTACTCAGGAGGCTGAGTCAGGAGAATCACTTGAACCTGGTAGGTGGAGTTTGCAGTGAGCTGAGATTGTGCCACTGCATTCCAGCCTGGGCGATAGAGCAAGATTCTGTCTCAAACTGAATTGTAAATTTAACCTCCAAAAATGTGTATATTAAAATGGAAGGAGAAAATGAAAATGGTTAGAACATACGAATACATACAAGAAGAAAATGGAAAATATTCAAAGCTACTATAGCCGTCATTTCTACAAACCTTCA